TCTTTCCTCTTTCCCAGTTCCTTGCAGAATTCACTCCCTCACCTCTAGGTGTTTGTTTAGATGTTACTATCTCAGTTAGAGCCTCCTATTTAAAATTCCATGCAACTCCACTCTTTCTGTAACATATATTTATCTATTGATTTACTTGTTTATTATCTATTGTCTGCCACTAGAGGGTAAATTCCATGAGGGCGGAGGCGATTGATTACCAGTTGTGTTGGCTGCTGTGTGCTAAGTGCCTAGAAACAGTGTCTGCCACCAGAAGGTATCACATGCATGGGTCTGATGCAGACCTTTCCAGCTAGGGCTGGAAATTACTTAAGCCAATTCCCTGTCCTTTGCTCTGTTTTCTCCTTCCCCCATGTCTAGTTATTTCTCATGGTTATCCAGAAATAAAACCTGGAGGCAATGTTAATCCCTCTTTCTACCTTGCCCTCCACATGGAATAGCTTCTGACTTATTTTTCCTTTGTGTGATTTTTTTCTTTTTTTTTTTTTTTTAAGAAATCTGCGGGTCATATTGATGCTAGGCCTATTTCTCCTCCATTTCTCCCATTCTCTACTCCTGCAGCTCCTTACTTTGAATTCCCTTTTCAAATGTCTTCACATCCTCACCTTTTCAGAATGAAAAGCCTGTCATTCGGAGTTCTTTACAACATGGTCTCAAATCCACGTTCCCCTTTCTGTTTTTATTAATGAGCAGGTCCTTTCCCCCAAGTGGGCAGGGATTCAGACAAATTGGACAAATGGCTATTCCCTATTTATAAAGGACTGTGCCGTCCGTCCGTCCTTTCTGTTTTGTGTGCCCAGCCTTTTAAACCTCCATCACATGTAGCCATCATTCCAAATACCTAGATAAGTTCAGTTGGAAGTGGCCTTTCCTTCCTCTCAATTCTAGTGACTTTTCACAGCCTTTTCTAGTTTGAATTGCAATTCCTTGGGCATTTGTCTTTTATTTTTGCTACAGATAAGGACAAAAAGCATGTACCACAAATTCCAGTTACTTTTTTAAGGAAAAATAAGACACATCTCCACCCCACTTAACTGATTTTTAAATACAAATGAACTTAAAGTTCTATTTGATAGGCCTTTAAGTCATTGAGCTTCTGTTATCATTTATATAAAATGGATAGTTAAGGAAGAAGGCAGGAAATTCAGTACTCAATAAAAAGATGCAAATACAGATATTGAGATCGGGGTTCACAGAAGCGAGTAGGTGTAGGAAAAGCAGTATACTCAACACCCATGTAGATGGACAGGCAGAAGTTAGAAAATAGACACCGTAAACGCACTCAGGAAGCCATCAGGACAAGTCAGATTTCATGAAGCAACGCTTGCGACTTTGGATTTTCCTGTGGGGTGTCATTCCTAAACTTTATTTAGTTTCTGCATCTCGACACAAAGAATCCTGTCTTCCGGCTTTGTGTTCTGAGCTGGGTAGGACTGAATGTTCTTTCTGGGCGGTGGAAGTAGTTTACCTTCTTTCCCTTCATTGTTTAAAATAATAAAATATTCATACCTTTTCACTTATTTTCCTGGGTATATGCAGAAGACATTTGCCAGAAGCTTTTGGTCCTTCAGAGAAAGGTGATAGACATAAAATACTGGAGTTGGGCTACTGTCGAAGCTTCCCATTTTAAGTTTGATACCAGCGTTTGGCTTAATGTACTCTGCTTCATTTTTCATTACGAACATATCCCTGTGCATATTCCAATTGAGTGATGAATGTTTTTATTTTACTTGTGATTTTTTCCCCTTATAGATTAAAACTTGTTTCTAGAACATATGTAGACATTTCAGCAGTTTAATTTTCTTTTCTTTTTCCTAATTGTTTCCCAAACCTCTGCTGGGGTTTTCCCATTTGAGGGCCCACATTAGCCACGCTCACTTATTTTGTACTTGATTTTGAGTACTTTGTAGCCTAAGTTTATTTTGCTGTTCTTGGGATGAAGCTGCAGTTTGTATTGATAGGAAAGATTTAGTAGGAAAAACATACATAAAGGTTTTAATTTTCAAAATGTTAGAAGTTTAAGGTAAAATTCTACTATAATTTAAATATGTAATTGGTTATAATTTTTCTCCTTCGGGAAATTTTTTTCTAATGTGCTAACCAGTATAGTTTCACTGTCAGAAGAATCTGGAAAGCAAATATTTGCTTTGGCGTAAAGTTTCGCGCTGTATAAGCATCTGTGTTTACCCTGAGTTTTCTTTGTTTTGAAAAAGCCTTTGGTTAAGGGTGTTATCAGATAGGATCATTCATGCAAATAATAAAAGTTGGAGCACAAACTAATTACATATACGAAGCACATGATAAGCATGGTGTAAGTAGCTGTTAAATAAATCGATATTTTTAGGGAGAATTTCATTAAAATACTATAGCATATTAATATATGTAATAATGGAATTGACCTAGTAAAGAAAGAGAAATTGATGATTCAGGAGATCGATGAAGGAGTGATGCACCAGAGGTTAATTAGTTGCATACTTTGTCAAATTGGAATTCCCAAGTGTCTCTCTCCACCTGTTTGTTGAATGAAACATTAAACAAATGTGTATTGGGGCCTACTAAGTGCAGGGCAATGAATAAGTCACCTTTTCTACACTCTAGTCAGGGAGGTTCTCCACAGGGAAGCAGTATGCAATCCTGGATGGTTACAAATGCTGAAATGGAAGAAACCCAGGATGATGACAGAAGATGAATTTGGAGAAGGAACACTTTAGTTAGTGTGGTCATGAAGGCTTGTTGGAGGAAGTGACATTTGAACAAAGTCCTCAATGGGAAGAGCTGAAGGAAAAGCATTTAAGGCAGAGGGGACACAGGTACAAGAGCCTGGAGATGGGCCAGGGCTCAAAGTCTGTGGGAACTGGGAAGGGGCTGCTCTGAAGGACTTGGTGGCTAGAGGAGCCAGAGGCCCTGGTGGAATGCAGCTGGAGAAGGAGGAAGAAGTTAGGCCATGTAGGTGCTTGTAGTCTGTTAGCGTCCATTCAGAGTTTGGATTTTATTCTAAGAACAGTGGGAAGCCATGGAAAGAGTTTAAGCAAAGGCGTGAAATGATCAGACTTACAGTGATTAAAAGGCAGCTGTACTGTGGGAAGGTTGGATTGGAAGAAGGTTGGAATGGAAGAAGAGGTACCAGGTTGGAGGGCCTCCCAAGAGACTCTATAACGTGCTGGTGATTTGTTTTTGTTTTTGGCGCCTCCTTAATCTGAACTCTCCGAACCTTCTGTCAGAACCAGCTGTGCCCTAGGCTTCCTGGGGCCTGACAGATTTTACCTCTGCAACGGTGTGAATTCCCCCTTTGGTTTCCTCTTGCCTCAGCTGATCACCCATCCATCCACCTATCGTCCTACCAATGGTGACAGTCCTCCGAGAATCATCCTTGAGAGTCTTCTGTGTCCTGCCTGGAAGATGCACTGGGAGTGTGAGTCCCAGTGGAAAAGGGACAGCCCAGGGAGGAGGGCAGGCATTGTGGTGATCAGGAACCCAGGAGGATGACCTTGGGAGGTCAAGGGCAGAGCAGAGCATTACAGCTGCACTTACCAGCCATACCCTGTCAGTTCTGGAATCAGAAGAGGGACGTGTTTTCATTTGGAGTAAAGTTAAGCCCTTCCTTCTTATCCTGGCAGTTTCGATTCGATTCTCATGTTGGAAAACAAAGGCCTGTCAGCGTTGACTGCTGCCTCCTCACTCTGCCCTTCCTTAAATGTATGTAATAAAGCGGAGCCAGTCTCATGGAACTAACAGACTTTTGTTCAAGCTCTTGGACACACCTATGGATTGTTGGGTGCAGACTATTCATCTACATTGTATCTCAATATTTTGCACATATTTTATTTTTAACTTTTATATCACGTTATCAAGAATCAGGATAGCCGTGGCTGGTTTGGCTCAGTGGATAGAGCGTCGGCCTGGGGACTGAAAGGCCCTGGGTTCGATTCCGGTCAAGGGCACATGCCCAGGTTGTGGGCCCGATCCCCAGTCGGGGACTCGCAGGAGGCAACCAATCAATGATTCTCTTTCATCATTGATGTTTCTATCTCTCTCTCCCTCTCCCTTCCTCTCTGAAATCAATAAAAATATATATATATTTTTTTAAAAAGAACAGGATAAATAAAAGTTGTCTCAAATAAGAGATGAATAAATCTAGGAAAAACTAGGACTGCTTTGTGGTGACAGAATGAGGGAAAAATCAAACGGGAGTGGGGTGGGAATTAGAGGAAGGATATATCAGTAGGAAAAACAGGAAAAGTTATAACTGATTCATCATGTGATGTGTGTCGGGGGGGGTGGGGGGAGCGCGGAGAAGGTTGCTATGTATTTTCCACTGGCAGAGCCTGTTAGATTTTTTAATCTGTTCTGCAATTAACTTAATTTACAATATGACAAAGATGTGCTTTGTTTCTGTTGAAACATTTTGGATGTGCTTGGAGCTAGTATTCTGAGAGGCGGAAATAAACAGATATAGATTGCTTACTATTAGAGTAGCCTTTTAATAAAACAACCAGTAGTTTGGGGTCAGAATCTCCTGGGGAAAATACTTTTAATGTAATTTAAAATGAAACCCATCCACTTGTCCTGTTCTCCCCTCAGGAATAATTCTGGTCCTATCCCCACCCCAGTTCCTCTCTTTATTCTCTGGGTCAGTTCCCCGTTCCCAAACCTGTTCCCATGCCAGTCCCCTTGACATGCCCAGGGTCTGTACATGGTTTTCGTTTGTCTCTTCCTTGAGGGGCCCTGTCAGCTCTCCCCTTTGGGGTTCTTGTACCCACAACACCCAGCACTAGTCCTGTTCCCCTGCTGAAGGAAACTTGTAACTCTTCCAAGCCTAATTCCTTCCCTTTGGGACAGGCTTGTTCTTCATTTTCCTTTATGCGTTAGTGTGAATCACCAGAGGAACAGAGGGAGAAGAGGCCAGTGCCCCTGACTAACTAGTCAGGTATTGCGTGTGTTAAAAATTCTTGCGGCACACCGGTTGAAAATCGCTGTTCTAAGAACTAACATCTAACACATCACTTACTCTTTACAACAACTCATAACGTATCGCTATCCTGGTTTTACAGATGAAGAAACCTAGGTGATAAGAAGTACTTCCACATGGTCACACAGCTTTGGTGGCAGAACTGTGACCTGAATAGAGCTCTGACCCGAGAGCCTGCCTTGCACACACTGTCCCTCGATTTCTTAAGATATCGCCGCATGCATTGTGTTAAACTACGTAAATCACCTTTGGAGATACAGAGTGAGGAGAAGGGAGCACTGCGTGTCCATTGGGAATAGGGTTACAGACAGCAAACCACGCAGAAGGAAAGCAGCGACCCAGTTCTGCCAGCACGAGGGGTCAGGCTTGTGCAGCTCTAGGTCAGAAATGGCCCATCGTCCTCTTGAAACATCACACATTGACATCTAACCAAGAGCTTGGTTCAGAATGGGCTCTGAATGTTGGTCCCATCACAAGCACAATCATGGGTGACATTAAAAATGACAACAGCCAACACAACAATAGCTGTCCGGTGTGAACGAATCAAAGTTATACCTATTTTTTTTGTTATAATGGCAAAAAATATATTTTTTTGGTGTGCCACAGAATTTTAGTAATTAGTTTATGTGTGCTGTGAGATGAAAAAGCGTGAAAATCGCCTGGCATTAGTGCTCAATAAATGTTAGTTTCTTGACTGTAACACCGTTGACGTTTTGGGCCAGATAATTTTCTGTTGTAGGGGCTGTCCTGTGCGCATTGTAGGATGTGTAGCATCCTCCATGGCATGTAGCCAATAGCAATCCTCCAAGTTGTGACACCCTAAAATGTCTCCAGACATTGCCAGATGTCCCCCAGGTGAGAACTACTATAAATGTAGTACTTACCAGCTATTATATGACCCTTGCAAATCGCTGCCCTCCTAAGGTCTGGCTGGCCTTTGAAAGTTCTGTTTCCATCGGACCCGCTTCTTTTTGTCGTTTGGGGCTTGTCTGAGTTGATTCACTAGCTGGATGGTAAAGTTAGTTCCTCCATTCTGGGTTAGTATCTCAACTTGGTCTCCTTAGAGTCATGGGACCTGCTCCTAGGCAAGCCAGCTGCCCCCGGGAGCCAGCCTGCAAGATCATCTTGTGACTCTCCAGCAGGTTCTTTTTGTGATTCTCCTTTGAAAAGCCTAACCTCCCTCTGAACCCCCACAAAAGCTCCAACTTTTAATCCCACGTGAACGATGTAACTTTTTGTTCTATTTTTTTCTTAGCTGTGGGGGTTCTTACATCAGCCCTCTTCTCATTCTGTTTTATTTGGCTCCGTGGCCATAAGATAATTTTGTATAATTTAAATTGCTTCCGTTTTATAGAATAATCATACACTAAATTTACAGTAATAACAGGGTTGCTTTTTCATAATGTCAGTTGTAACCACTTAAAAACGAGTTTATGAACCTGCTTCATTGCTTCTCAGGGGACTCTTCAGAGGCAGTGTGGCACAATGGGTAAAGGTCCTAAAAGCTGATCACCTGCGTTCAAATTCTGACTCCACCACCTGGAGCAGGTAGCTTCATCTTTTTATGCTTCTGTCTCAACTCGGTTTCCTCTCAGTAGGTAGAGCTGTTGTGAGCAGCAGCCGGATTAAGGCGCACAGAACACAGTCTTGGCTTATAATAAGCTTAGCCACTAAGTATTGAATATTGTGAGTTTGCCAGTTTGATTTAGCTTGAAGGAAAGAGAAACTTCACTGAAGGAGAGGCATGTGGTGTAGCAAACAAGTCCACATAGGTTTTGGAGTCAGACAGATTTGGACTTGAATCCTAGCTCTACTGCCTGTTAGCTGGATCCTGGCATGGATGGGTGATTTTATCTTACTATGTTTTTCTGGAATAAGTTGGGTGTTCTGACTAGCAGACCATGTTTTGGGTCTCCAGGGATTAGCATCAGTTCAGAGCTAGTGCCCAGTAACTCTTGGAAGGATTAGGAATTTCCCGTTTCCCAGTGGATGGTCACCCTTGTGAATGGATGCAGGTCTCTCTGGAGGAAGGGAGGTCTGGAGAGAGATTGATGGGATCCATTGTGGCCCTGCAGAGGGTCACAGTGATCTTATATTTAGTCTAACATTCTTGGGTCTAACATCCTTTGAAAGTTCTTCCATATGTGCTTCCTCAGACTCCTGCTGGTAAAAATTGTTAAGATTCTCCAAACTTCCTATATAATAAAAGCCTAATAGGCAAATTGTCCCCTCGACTTGGAGTTTGAACGGGAGTTCAACCAGGGGAAGGGAGGGCCCCCCTTACCCCCACTTCCCCGGTCGCTGCAGCGGTGGGAGCTGCAGGTGGTCAAGGGAAGGGAGGTCCCCCAGCTGGCAGCCTGCAGCCACTAGGGATCCTACCTGTGCACCAATTTCATGCACTGGGCCTCTGGTTTTAGTATAAAGGCATCTCCTTTCAGAGTAGGCGCTGAACTTCTTTCTGAGTTCTGTTGGGCTCTAACTACCATTTTGAGGCCATGAGGGGTGATGGGAGTAGGTAGTGAGGAGACTTGGCATCCCCGTGTGAAACAACTTGGAAGGGTTTATGTAGGGCAGGGTTTGGGAGGCTGAGACTCCCGAGAGAGGTGTAGTTGCTGCTTTCAGTAGGGATGTTCAGCTGAGTATGGAGTTCAACATTCTTAGCCTCATTGTGTTTGCCCAAGTGCCTGCATCTGTGATTCAGGATCATTTTCAGCCACTGCCCATGTAGTCAGCATGAGAGACTTTCCAGGGTTGCATGTTTAACTGGCTCTGCAACACTTAACCATCAAATTTTGGTCTTGATCCTTAGTCCTATCAGCTTAGCAGCTATAAGACAAAAAAAATCTAACAGCCATAGATTTCCCACCCACCTATGTGGGAATTCATGACTTTCAATTTGCCATCTTTGTGCTTATTCTCAAAGATAACCAGAAGCAGCCCAGCCCAGGTCACAGGCTTTAAAATAGCTTTTCCATCATCCACGTGGCCTTCCAGCACCTTGCCTACCCCTATATTCCGTCCTGTAACACCGGGGGAGGCAATTTGAGTGATGCCATCTCTGTGTGCCCAGTGACTAGTTCCCTACCCCCCTCCCACCCCACCGGAAAGTGATCTGGGCATTCATCAAACATGCATCCCATTTTTGAGGGTCTGTTTCCTAGGGTCATTCTTGGTCCCAATTACTGCATCAGTCACATGACACTCAAAAGTAATAGAAGGAGTTATGGAGTCTCTAATTTAGACAAATGCTGCTTTTATGGGGTTATAGGGTGAACTAACATAGACAATGCTGCACCCCAAGCTTAAGAGGAGGCCAATTACATTTCCATGTTTTCTAACAACGAATTTGACTACGTATAAATCCTCCTGACTGCATTTCCAGCAGCAAATCCAACAAAATAGGTTTTATGTGTTTTTTAAATTTTTGGGCTGTTTTTTGTTGTTGTTGTTGTTGTTGTTAATCCTCACCCGAAGCTATTTTTGCATTGATTTTAGAGAGAGTGGAGGAAACGAGGAGAGACAGAGAGAGAGAAACATCGATTGGTTGCCTCCTGCATGGGCCCTGACTGGGTGAGCCTGCAACCGAGGTACATGCCCTTGACCAGAATCAAACCTGGGACCCTTCAGTCCGTGGGCTGATGCTCCGTCCACTGAGCGTCAAACCTGCTAGGGCCAAAGTAGGTTTTGGTGATCTTAAAGGAAGCCCCCTTCTGATCAGTTAAAATTCATTATACCTGATATTCCATGCCTGCAGATAGATACTTGAAATCATTACTTGAATGTAATTTATTTACAATGATCACATCTGTCAGAGTGACTTCCTGAAATTAATCATGGAGAGGGACTGGCAAACTAACCTTGTAAGGCAGCGGTTCTCAACCTGTGGGTCGCGACCCCTTTGGGGGTCAATGACCCTTTCACAGGGGTCGCCTAAGACCATCGGAAAACACATATAATTACGTATTGTTTTGTGATTAATCACTATGCTTTATGTTCAATTTGTAACAATGAAAATACATCCTGCATATCAGATATTTACATTACGATTCATAACAATAGCAAAATTACAGTTATGAAGTAGCAACGAAAATAATTTTATGGTTGGGGGTCACCACAACATGAGGAACTGTATTAAAGGGTCTCAACCATTAGGAAGGTTGAGAACCACTACTTTAAGGGGTACTATTTCGTGTCAGTGGTGAGTATGGGCTGCTGTGTGTAGCAAAGGTGATATCAATGTGACATCTTGAGTCTTTTGTCCATAGGTGGAATGATAATATTAGTATAATTGTGCTTTTTTCTGAATTGAGATCTATTGTAACAGCTCTAATCAGGGGTCCAGTGCATCAGAATGGTCCACAGTTATTAAAATGCAGCATAGCACAGTGGTTAAGAGTCAGGTCTCTGGAGCCAAACAGCTGGGGTTCAAATGCTGGATAGGCGAGTTATTTAACCTCTCTGTGTCTTAGTTGCCTCATTTGTAAAATGGGCATAAATGGTTACCTACTAAATAGGATCTTAATCTGAAGCAAGCTTCACCTGTTTGACCTGATGCAAAAAGTCTGAAAACCATACCTGGAAAAATCCATCAAACTAGGGATCTTTTAGGTGAGAGGTAGCCCTTAGTCCACATGAACTGTGGTATAGAAGCTTCCGGAATTTCTTAGCAGTAAGAAAGGTGGATGGGATGCAAATGTTTGATTGTGGTTTATCTCTTGAAATGGACGTAACAGAAATTAAATCTCTTAACCTGGGCCGAGACTTAACGACCAAAAGTAAATTAATGGTATTTTAAAGATGGTTTTGCTAATCAGTTTTGTTTGTTTTTTTCTGTCGGTTAAGGTTGCATGATGGAATTTGAACATTACCTCAAGAGGTTTTGTGTTTTGGAGTAGCTGATTGTGTTTGTCCTCTGCTGACCATTGCTTCGGACTCCTTTTCTGGTGTCCTTTTGAGGCCTTAAACCCAAAGGGATTATACCATGGACTACAAGGAAAGCTGCCCAAGTGTAAGCATTCCCAGCTCTGATGAACACAGAGAGAAAAAGAAGAGATTCACTGTAAGTATTCAGGGTAAAGCATATGGGGGGAAAAAATAGAGAATATTTCCATTTCTGCTTTTCTTTCTTAATCTAGAATGTCCTCTGCCAATGTCCACAAATCCAGATTTTACGTATCTTTCCAATGCTGTATTCCATTACAATACACAGGGACGACTTTTTCAGTGCAGATTTTTGCCTGTTTACCTAACCCTTGGAGAAACTTATGACACTTTCTGACAGACCCTCTTACCAGGAAGTGTGCATGCCTGTGGATATAATTTTATGTGCACTGTCGGGGGGTTAATGGACCCAGAAGTCATTGGTCCCATATTAAGAACCACTATCTAGAAATTTCCGTAGTGCCTTTCTCAAAATTTCCATAGTATCTTTTTTCATAGTATCTTTTTTCTTTCTCATAGTATTCTTATGACGTTTATTATTTTCTACCTCAATTTTAAAAATACGTCATCCAGTCATTTATCTCTTTTTTTACCTTAGAGGCAAAGCCCATTTCTAATTTTACTTTTTACCACCATAGGATCTACTATAGGGCTTTATAAAGAATAAACACAGTGAATATTTGTTGAATCAGTGTATCAGTGACTATTATTGTGCCGGGAGCCAGTCCATCCTTGCTGTTTCAAGGGACCTGGCATATATGGCATACTGTTCTTAATATGTTTGCTCACCTTCTTGGCACTATGTGTTTTAACCAAGGTCACCTCTCTGAGAAAGGTTGTTTCCCCCGGGAGGGATTTTCCCCTGAAGTTAGGGAGGGAATAAAACCCCTTAACTAAGTGCCAGGAGGGTAATTAATCACTTTAACTATGAACAATCATGCCTAAGCTACATAATCTTTACTCCCTGGAATGGAGATAAGAAACGCCCTAACCTTTGGAATAGAGATTGATAGGATTGGAATCAACTGGTATAAATACAGATGTAACAAGACAACAGGATACAGAACCTAGAGACGGAACATGGCAAAAGCTCCTGGACAGAACCTGGCTGGAGATCCTGACCAGAACTTCTCTGGAGATCCTGGCTAGCGATCCTGGCTAGGCTGCTGATCAACTGACTGGTGTCTCCGTGTCATTCCTTCTTCGCCGACTCCATCCCCACCTTTGGGGACCCCTGGACCTGCGGGGGTTGGACCCCGGCATTATTGGAGAACAGTCACTTTTCTAATTAGTGTAATGAAGCATAGACTATTGCTGGCATCTGCAGTTGATGAACTGACTTGTCTGTTCTGTGGTTAGGCTGGCTCTCAAAGGCGATAGAGCCCACTGAGGCTCTGGCATGCCCTTTGCCTGCTCCTGAATCAAGTGATCTACCCCAGGCTCTGCCCAGGGGGTCACCTGGCCCTGCTAAAGATGCCCAGTGACAAGCGACTTTCAACTCAGTCCATTTCACATGGGAGTTGAGGAAAGCTGAGGAGTTAAACTCTTTGACCACTCCACTCCGCCTTCTTAAATAAGTGGAGCTGGGACCCCTCACCCCCCCATGGTGGTTTTCTCTCAAAATCCCAGATAAGGAGCTAGAAACAGCCCCTCTACCCTCTCTGCTCCCTCCCATAACACCTCCACACTCTGCACCAGAGCCCAGAGCTGAGATACTATGATGTGTGTCTGACAGTTTGCTCCCCCTCAGTCTCTGTGTTGGTAGTAATATCTTCTCTTTTAAAAAAAAATATTTTATTGACTTTTTACAGAGAGGAAAGGAGAGGGAAATATTGATTTTCTACAGACAGGAAGGGAGAGGAATAGAGAGTTAGAAACATCGATGAGTGAGAAACATTGATCAGCTGCCCCCTGCACACCCCCCACTGGGGATGTGCCCACAACCAAGGTACATGCCCTTGACCGGAATCGAGTCTGGGACCGGAATTGAGTCTGCAGGCAGACGCTCTATCCACTGAGCCACACCGGTCAGGGCAGTAGTAATATCTTAACAAGCAGTGTACATTTATCCCACATTTGTATAAGCAAAATTTAGAAATAACACATTGATGGTAAGAGGTCAGTGTACCTTGGATGAAATAGTGAAATGTGTGCAAGTTTTCCTTCCTTCCCCATCTTTACTTTGACCTTTAGGCTATTCTCTCCTTCAAGGGCATAAGCTCTTGCCAAGTTTGAGGGAAGTTCATACTTCGCCAACATTGTCAGTGGGTTATCTCCGGTGTCCTCCTGTTTTTCATGGTCGAGGTAATGCTCACACGTCTTTATATAGCTCTGCACTGTGAAGCTTCTAACAGAATTGCATCCTAAGATGTCTTGACTTAAACCAAGTCTAAATTATACTTTCATTTATCCACTCAACAAATAGTCATTGAGTTTCTTTATTATGCCAAACACTGTTCTAGGCAACTGGGGTACAGCAGTTAGCAAAAATGACACAGCCCTTGTTCTCAAGGAACTTATATTCTATGTTGAGGCAAGACAGACAATAAAGAAGTATTTTAAAATTCAATAAGATCATTTCATATTGTGATAAATATTATACTCTTTCTGTGTAATCTTGTGGTTTTTTTGGTAAATTAAAGTATTTTTTAAAATTTAAAGTTTTTGTTTTTGTCTATTGATTTTTTAAATTAGAACTTACTCAATAAACCCTTGTTAATAAACCCTACTGCTAATTAATAATTCACAGGGCTTTATCTCGGCTCCTGTAAATATATTTGTAGCAGAACTGCTTCAGCCTGGAACCCAGGCTTGGGTTCTAGCTTGGCTGTACTTGGGTAGTGATGGGAAGCCAGCCGCCTTACAACACCGGGAATTGGCACAAGTAATTCAAGAAGCTTGAAATTGGAGAAACCTAAGTTTCCAATCCTTTTGTAGCAGCCCTGCACCAGGCCTATTCAGTCCTGAATGATGTATGAGGTAAACGTGTAGTCTAGTCTTAGAAGCATGGCTCACCTTCACTGGCACCTTGATCAGGTTCTTGACCCTCTACTTCTGCTCATTCTCCATGTGAGCAGTGTCATCTTGCAAACATTTCTGACATCTTACACCTAATAGCTTCCTCTAAGACAGCGTGATACATACCTTCTTGGTTAGGACCAGAAGAGCCATATCACCACCCTGTGGCTCCTGTAGGGTGCTCTTTTCTGTCAGTCTAGATCAGGGGAGGGGAACGTCCAGCCTGCAGGCCCTATAACAGTGATGGCGAACCTATGACACGCATGTCAGAGGTGACACGCGAACTCATTTTTTTGGTTGATTTTTCTTTGTTAAATGGTATTTAAATATATAAAATAAATATCAAAAATATAAGTCTTTGTTTTACTCTGGTTGCAAATATCAAAAAAATTCTGTATGTGACACGGCACCAGAGTTAAGTTAGGGTTTTTCAAAATGCTGACACACCGAGCTCAAAAGGTTCGCCATCAGTGCTCTATAAGGTCCTCAAAATCATTTGGTCTGACCTTGCCAAGACATTAGGGGTGAGTTACTTAAATGTTTGACTCAATACAGCAGGCTAATTTTTAAGTTGGTGATTTTGTATGGCCTGCAAATGATGTTATAAATATCCAAATGGCCGTTGGCAGAAAAAAGGTTCCCCACCCGGGTCTAGATGGTTCATCACTTAGGTGTCTGATACTAGTGACTGTTTCACTTCCCAGGTGAATACTTAACTCCTCCCACTGTTGGCCTATAAGTGTGATTATATCTTAAACGATACTACAGAATTCGTTCAGTACAATCACATACTTATCAGGGAGTTCCTTTCCTCACGGTATCATCTAACTATGAACTTGTGAGTATAGCTTACCAATCTTTCATAGGGAAGGATAGTTTATACATGTTTACCCATCTTCCAGAATTAACCTCATTTACTTTAACTTGTCTAACAGATTGTGGGCAATTGTATTATAAACCCCAAAGCTACTCCTATCTCTTTCCCCTAGTCATATATACTGTAAAATGAAGAGATTGGTAACACAGGCCATATGTCAGGGTGTCTTTTCTCATAAACCTGGATTCTTGATATTTTTCTCTTTAGAAATGATATAATATTTGGGGGGGTCCCAAACAGTTTTCTTTACATTGGTATATTAAATTATAATGTGAGAGTATCTATGGGATGAACTGTGAGAGTTGATTTTATAATTTAACTGTTGATTTGATACTAATTCTGATGCACGGTGGGCATTAGAAGATTTAGATCTTATCTCACAAGTCTGTGTGCTTGGGCAAGTTGTGTAACTTTTTTTGGCCATTTACTCATATGTATAGTGGGGGGCGTAATATTTGTTCTGCTTACTTCATACGGTTGTTGACTATGATTATATGCAGTTATGTATATATGAAAATATTAAGGTAGGAGGAAATCTGAGGATAAATTCTTAGTTTGAAAACTACCATGTAAAAGATGACCTGGGAGAAGGAGAACTAATAATTGAGTATTTACTATGTGCCAGGCATCACTTTTGAAAATACTTTATAGTTTCAGGGTAGTGGTACTGCTGGAGAAGAATAGGGAATATCTTCAGTTGAATCTATAATGTCTTATTCTTGGCAGGAAAATCTGAAACAAGAATAGCAAAATAGGATTCATTTAAATAATGAGTACATGGTATTCACTGTGTTATTCTTTGAAAATTATAGACCTATTTCATAGCATTTTTTAAAAATAAAAGGCCACCTTTCAACAAGATAAAATAAGTATTTCAGTTGGTATGCTTGTGTATCTTGGAGAATCACATATAAACATTTATGTCTAATATTAGTTTCATGAGTATGAAAACATTCACATATTTAAGTAGTTAATGTTTTTTTGCAATCAAATATTGTGTTATTTTTATTATCTTTTTGTTTTCACAGGTTTATAAAGTTCTGGTCTCAGTGGGCAGGAGTGAGTGGTTTGTCTTCAGAAGATATGCAGAATTTGATAAGCTTTACAATACTGTAAGTAATGGTCACTTTATGAGGTTTTTATTTAAAATAAGACACCTGAGAAAACTCAAAAATACGAGAGATTTTACTTGAGTGATTAAATAATATTCAGATATATCAGAGAAGCAGAAAAGAGTAAGAGATTCTTCAAAAGCATTCTAACTTTGGAATTCTTATACAAAAGGGTGGAGAGGGGACCGTTGACAAGTTCCACATAAAGTATTGAAAGTATGAAAACCAGATGTACAACTTAAAATATATTTTAATGTTATAGAATATTAGAAATAAATCCTTTACATCTACCTCTCTAATAATTGCTAATCATCATGTTATTTCTGGTTAAATTTATTGTGTTTTCTTTTGTTACTTAGTTTTTCTTCAATGCATATGCAACTGAAACTTACTGTATATAGTTTTAAATACTGCTTAATCAATATTTAACATATTAATTAAGACAGTCATTTTTTTACTCTAAGTGAAGTCACATTTTTGAAACAAACTAAGAGCCAGTAAGAATTTGTACATGAGAATATCTTCTGTAATTTTTTCCAGTGATTTAAAAAAAATAGTTTATAGTAGAGGCTAGGTGAGGGTTGAGTGTTGCTAGCTCTATTTGAAATTCTTGGATACCATTATGTATATGACTAGCACTTTTTTTTAATGATTGTACAAATCTGACTGCGCCTATCCGGATAGCTGGGTTATACTGCGGTAGCATGATGGTAACACAACACCCATGCACACTTGCACAGAGGGTTTATATGAACTTAGATGAAATTTTGTTCAGTGAACTACTAATAATTGAAAATTTGAGATTTCTTTATGTATTTTGCTTAAAAGATCATATAGGCCAGACTTACCTTCCAAACATGTCTCCTTTAGTAGAACAGTAGGGAACATCATCCAGAAACGGACCAGTCAGGAGTCTGCCTGAGTTCAAAGCCTAGCATCCTTAGGATGGCTTCTTTTTAAATCGCTGTGATATTTGAGTATTTTTAAGGGTAAAGGTAAAGTAGGAATGTTTCTTTTGGGCATTTCCCCACCATGATCGTGTTCTTTCTGTTTTTCCATCAAACATCCCATTTTAAGTATTTTTGCAGATAATTTTCTTAACATGTAGTTGGGTTTTTATTATCCATCTTCCTCATTTTTCCTGTATTTCTCTTTTTTTGTTCTGTTTTTTTTTTTTCTTCTCGTTTCCTCGTTTTCTGTGTCTGCCTTTCTCATTTTACATAACCCCTTTCAATTCTGCCTCCTGGGGAGAGGGGCAAAGACAAAAACAGTATTAGTTGTGTTCTTTCAAACTATAGGAGTGAGTTTAAACTAAGCCTGATTTCCCTAAGTTTGAAAATACAAATTCTTATGCCTCTTTTACAATAAAAGACAAAAATATAATTTCTAGTCTCTAAGCATTTTAATTATCGGTTACATGGGCTTTTATGACTGTTTACATTTTAAACTTTTTATTGTAGAAATTGCTTAATACCTACAGAGGTAGAATGACTAGTACAAACACAGAAAATAAAATAATGTACCATCCAGCTTCAACAATTAAATGGCCATGCTTGTTTCATCTCTGGCCCTAGCCGGCCCCCTGTAATTCTGAAGCAAAATTCACTCATCGTATCATTTCATCTGTAAATATTTTAGTATCTTCTCTAAAAAAAGATAAAAGTCCTTAAAAGCACACACACATAACATTATCACATCTAAAACTAAACGAATGATTATGTCTTACCATCAAATAATCACTCAGTATTTATGTGACTGGTTGATAGATCTATTAAGTGTCTTTTAATCTTCCACCTCTCTTATCTTTCCTTTACAGCTTTTTGTGGAAAAAGCAGTGTCATTTGTCTGCAGACTTTTCAGTCTGGATTTTGCTGATAGCATGCCAGTGGTGTAGAGTGATTAATACATTCTTCTGTTCTTTCTATTTCCTGTCAGTTGGTAGTTAGATACATAGTTTCTGTGTGTGGGAGAGGAGGTAGGGAGGACTCTTACCTGAGGGTTATAATAAAAATAGGCATTAACCCTTATTTATGACTTTACTGCTACAAACTTAAGTTCTTGAGGGCCTAGTTTTTTCTTCTCTGGGGCTAAACAAATCTGATAAATTTTAGAATAGCAATAGGGGGAAGGCTGAAGTTGAGAACGTTAAAAGCAAAATTCATCAGCTTTCTTAGAAAACAATTGTCAATCTGTTCATATAGAGAGAACACAAAGATCACATCTTCCCCTGAGGTAATAAATGGTGAGTAATATGTATTCAAAATTTATATACTAGATTCTAGTCTAAGCACTTGACGTAAATGATTTCCTTTAAGCCTCACAACAAGTCTGTAAGGTAAGTGCTAAAATTATCCCTATTTTGCAGGCACGAAAACAGGTACAGAGATGTTAAGTAACTTATCAAGGTCACAAAGCTGCTAAGTGTTCTATTGGCACAAAATAAGATGATTAGACAGTCTATGGTATTTTATTGGTATAACTCAATATTGTACATTTGATCGTGATATAGTTAAAAGTATGTCTTACAATGGATTTTCTTGCAAATAGATTGTATTTTATTTTGGTGCATGCATAACTAGAAAACTTATAAAATTAAGTTCATATAATGTTACTTTTTAAAATTCTAGTTAAAGAAACAATTTCCCACTATGGCCCTGAAGATTCCTGCCAAGCGAATATTTGGTGATAATTTTGATCCCGGTAAGCAGTAACTTCATAGACCCAGACATAAGTGATAGTTGAAGTTTGAAGACATAGTTAACTCATTCATTGTACTGTATACTAATATAAAAGTTTACAAAGCGCCCTGACCGGTTTGGCTCAGTGGATAGAGCGTCGGCCTGCGGACTGAAGGGTCCCAGGTTCAGTTCCGGTCAAGGGCATGTGCCTTGGTTGTGGGCACATCCCCAGTAGGGGGTGTGTAGGAGGCAGCTGATGGATGTTTCTCTCTCATCGATGTTTCTAACTCTCTATCCCTCTCCCTTCCTCTCTGTAAAAAATCAATAAAATATATTTTAAACAAAAAAAAAAGAAAAGTTTACAAAGCAAATTGATCTCATGCTTTATGAAAATAATGTCTCAGGAAGGTGTTTATTGTGTACCCAGCATTGTTTTATACATGTCACATGTTGTAATTCATTGAGACCTCACAACAAACCTTTGAGTTGGATATTATCATCGTCACTATTTTATAGATAAGGAAACCGAAGCGTAGTTAGGGCCACAGGCATCTAGTAAATGTCAATTTTGGAAGTTAAATTTAAGCAGTCTGGTTTCAGATAAATTTTTTTTGGTATTAAGGATTATTTGGGGTACTTTGCTAACCATGAAGGACGTTCATTTTTGCATTGAGAAGCATTTATTGAAAGTGTACTCTGTACCAGCACCCTACAAGCCTCTGAATGGGATTCTAAAAAATGTCCTATTGCTCTCCCTTGGGGAGTGTAATGCCACAAAGGATCTCAGGAATCTGGAGCCCTTATGTCTGAAGCCCCAAGCCGGGAGCTTTTCACTAGAATCCGAGAAATCAATCCAGGCCACAAGTGGCTACTTAGAGAGAGACAGAAGTCTCCTTTTCTACCAGGCATCCTATCAGAAAAGTCATCTATCTGAGTAGTAGGTGAATGGACAGACCAGAGAGCCCTCCCTCCACACCATCTTACTTCCTCAATTCATTTGCTTGTAACCCTGTAACCCTGTGCTTCCCTGCATATCTGCTCTCTCTGGTCAAATTGCTCTCTACTAGATAGCTCTTCAGTTGCTTATCTTTACTGCACCTTTTCCCATTCTTTCACTCCAAACCTTTTCATTGTACTGTGTGGGATTCTGCCCATGATGAACAACCTTCTCTTTATCCTTCATCTTTTTCATATTACTCTCACTTTCCTACTGTAGTTAAAGCTTAGTTCCCCCACCCCTGAGGCTGCAGGATGACCCCGTGTAACCCTCTCAACTGGAAGCTCTTTGGTTTTTTTTTTTACACTTTATGAACCTCGGGATTGGTGAGGATTCTCACTTCCCCTAGTGTATGTAAAGTTTTTATTCGCATTTGTAACTACATCGTTCACAGGAAACTAGAGGCTAAGCCACTCTCCCAAGCCTCACAGCTAATATGTGGAGAATTACTCATCCAGGTTTGTCTCTCTCATTCCCTTACTCTACTCTCTGCTTAAAGCGTGGTGCCTTTAGAAACAAAATTCATAAACTTCTGTGCATGTTCTTTAAAAATTGCTTGTTTGGAACATTACAGAAAGAACTCTGACCCTGTTTCCTGATCTGAAAGGCGTGCGTGAGGGATAAAGGATCTCCGTGGTCCCTGCGGGCTCTAAATATCCTTTGATCGCGAATATAATCAGGTCACTCTGACCACCAGTAGCCGTGTTAGGACAGAAAAACCTTCAGTCAAAATTTGATTTTTTTTTTTTACCCTTTGTCCTATAGTCTTGGAGATTTCTCCTTTTGGATGATTTTCTTAGAAGCACTGAAATGACAAATCTTCATAGGTCAGTTTAATACTTATTCTGGAGACGAAAGCTTTCATTTTATGATTTAATTTTTATTTAAAATACATTTTATTTTACTCAATAATATAAGAAAAAATACAGTAAAATTCTAAGTAATATACATAGTCACATAAATTCTTAATTGGAGAGATTTAAAAAATATCTCTATTATTATTTTTTTAATCCTCATTCGAGGATATGATTTTAGAGATAGAGGAAAGGAGAGAAAGAAACATTAATGTGAGAGAAACATCAATCAGTTGCCTCACATACACACCTCTACCGGGGGTTGAACCCACAACCTTTTGGTGCATGGGACGACGCTCCAACCAAATTACAGTTATGAAGTAGCAACGAAAATAATTTTATGGCTGGGGGTCACCACAACACGAGGAACTATATTAAAGGGTCGTGGCATTAGGAAGGTTGAGAACCACTGCCCTAGTCCATTGTTATCATCGCTCTCCCATCTACTAGGCCTGGCGATAGAGTAGTATACTTCTTCCTTTCTTCCAGAACATTCTCCTTCCTTTCCCTATAAAATGCCCCCACCTTTTTTAAAAACTCAGAATTGCCCCTAAATTCTGACTACTACTGATCTTCTTTTTTCATTACTGACTTCTTTTATTTATCTTCTTTAGGGCTTTCAAAACTGTTTAAAGTCAGTAATGAAGTGGAAAGACAAGTAGCACTTAGTGCAGCATGGGATACAGCTCCCTGAAGAAAGCAAATCACTCTCTCTTACCACAACCCGTCTCCCAGTATCAAATGTACCATCAGGAAAAATCCACAGAACAATTTAGAGATGCTTCCATGTGATCACTAGATTTTATTTAAATATCTCAAATATAGTCATTCGTTTTAGTTCTTCTATGTTACTAAATCCAGTTTCTGAAAACGGATTGTCTTTCAAGTATAGATTTTTAAATATATTTTTATTGATTTCAGAGAGGAAGGGAGGTGGGGGAGAGAGAGAGAAACATCAGTGATGAGAATCATTGATTGGATTCCACACACAGGATTGAGTTCACTCTTCCGCACACACAGCGCTGGCCCACAGCTAAGTGTTTGCTAAGCTGCAGTCTAGCACTATTTTACTGATTTCTGAGAGGAAGGGAGAGAGGGGGAGAGAGAAACATCAGTGATGAGAATCATTGATTGGATTCCACACCCCCTCCACTGGGGCTCAAGCCCACAATCTAGGCATGTGTCCTGACCAGGAATCGAACTGTGACCTCCTGGTTCATTGGTCGACTCAACCATTGAGTTACACCGGCTGGGCAAGTATAGTTTTTAGTGAAAACCTCACATATGCTTTACTATTGTCTGGTGACATAAAGAATGCCCTTGGAAGAGTTTTACAAGATACCTTCCTGAAATTCTTCAAGAAATTCATAGTGGAACAAGAAAAAGCTGCCAAGTTCATCTGTATCTAAGAGACCAGATCTAATTTATATTTGTTCTTAAGAAATGTG